CCATGCCGGGCCGTCTGCGAGAGATAAAAATAATGAATCGATTTTAATCTTAAATTTAATATTTAATTAATCAATGTAAGGTTAATAAAGTTATTCAAAGTATTATTAAGTGCTTAATCGTCCCATTATCTAGGCATTTTAGTTACACTGAATGACATTTGTTAGATTATTCTCCTTGGCAGTAAGTTTTTCTGAGCGTTAAGTGTTAAACGCATCTGTAAATAAAAAGACGGAAAGACTTCATAGGAATGTACCATGAAAAACTAAATGTTGATTTAAAAAAGAGAAAAAAACCTTACCGAAAATATAACATTGATATTAGCATTTTCAACCTCAACAATACCATACGCAATACATGGACTAAACGTTGAAGTCAGAGATCCCTAAGGTTCGGGTATTGCATCCAAGCTTACAAGTACTGAACAGAGGAAGGACTACCGTTCAGCAGCACCCGTCGCCAATGCGCATACTTTTAAACAAATAATGAAATTGACTGTCACATTTATGACGTGCCATAGTTGAAAGCGCAGCAAGTGTTCGGCAGCACATTGCATTTTGAATCTTGGACCTTCTGATTTGCATCCCGACACGCTAACTACTAGTCTATGCCTGGTTCCACTTAAAATAAAATGCTTTAAATGTTAAATAACCTCCAATTAAATCTTACCATCTCTCTATCTTCGTCTTGCCTTTGTAAATATAAGCCGAAACCGACTCCAAATATATCAACTCTACTTAGAACACTCTTTCGGATTGTGCCGAAAAATAAAGATAATTTTTATTTATGTTAAAACGACTAAAGCTATCTGTCGCCTATCTGATTTTGAACTACCGATCAGAGGGTAGGCAGTCAATCAGGAGCATTCTACCACCCACCGTCCACGTTAAGGAATTGACTGTCACAATTATAACTCATCCACAACTTAAAATGCGTGGAATATTTTATGGTAGCACACAGAATTGAACCCGACTCGCCAGCTCCGAAATCCATGTTTCTACCACAGGGCCAACTCGCACTGCGGTAAAAAGTTAATTAGTCCACTTCCTCTGCAATTATCATGTCTTTTTTTTTTTTTACGCCTAGATTTTTTTCCTATTAACTTAGCTTATTTGTTTCTAGTAGAATTTGATCAGGTATACTTGTTCACTCAGAAATATAAATATTTAAGTGTTTGTTATTAATTCTGCTAACCTAGTAAGTTGTATGTTTTATTTTCTTTGATTAAACTGTTACAGTAGCGCCTCATATATATTTCACGAAAGTGACGTCTCAGTAATTTGTGGTTCGAATCCCCGTCCCACCAAACATGCTCATCCTTTCAGCCGTGGGGCATTATAATATGACGGTCAATCCCACTATTCGTTGGTAAAAAGAGTAGCTCAAGAGTTGGTGGTGGGTGGTGATGAGTATCTGCCTTCCCTCTAGTCTTTCACTGCTAAATTAGGGACGGTTAGCCCAGATAGCCCTTGTGTAGCTTTGCGCGAAATTCCAAACAAACCAAACAAATAATTTGTGAGATAGCGAATTCTATTGTTTTGGTTATGTTTTGTTTAT